TTTGCCGCGCGCATCCTCGGACGCACGTAAGTACCCATACCCGTTTTCTTACTTTCTCTTCATTTTTTTCGACTTTTTTTTCTGTTAGATCGAGATAACTCCGTTTGATGTGGCTCTGATGTGATACTTTGCTACCATGAGGTCAATTAAAAACAAATTTTGTAATCAGTGCGCTTGTCTGCAACGCCTTTTCAAGATCATCTTTTCCAGCACAAAATGTAACAAGCTCCTCCCCTGCAGTTGTTGCAGTACATAGACAAGAAATCAGCAACTTTGAAGCCAAAACTGCCATACAGCCATTTGATCGCAAGAAATACATGGAGGAGTTCAGAAAGAAGCTTTTAGCTCTTCCTAAAAGCTATAAGAAAGCCACCGTCTCCAACAGCACAGCATTCAGTGAGTGGATGTCGTTTTTCTCATCTCTGTTAATAACTTAGTGTGATCAAAATGAGACTTTTTATTGGAATTTTATTTATTTACTTATTCATGTGTGCTACTTCACGAGCTTTAAATAGAACAGAGAAATTTGATATTATGGCAAATCTTTTGCAATCCCTCAGACAAACCTTATATCAATTAAAAGATCTGGAGAAATGAGACAACTTTTCTAACCCTTTGACTACGGCCTACTTTGTGAAGCCGCTGCTCCAACTAAGTCTTTCTTTGCACCAGACCCATTGAAAGTGATCGTTTCAGATGCCACCCATGATCAGACTGAAAACGTTCCGGACGAGGTTTCATCTCCGGACGATACTATGATGGAAAATTTTATCAGGAACAAGGAAAATGAGCTCGCAACGCTCACCAAAGTACATAACAGAAAAACCATTTCTGTTGTAGGGACTTCTTTACAGCGAGAGATCGATTCTAGTAGAGTACATCCGGAGCCACCCTCCTCGAATAAAAGCGCTACCGAATATGTGCCTGTCGATATGGAGCCGCGAGGAATGGAAGGAGTACGATTATCAAGTGAATGTTTTCATTTAAGTTTCTTCCTTTGCCCAAACTGGAGGGCAAAAAGAGCGAAGGCTCAGTTGCTGGCGTCAAAAAAAAACGGATCATGTAGACTGGATGGGCTCTCAGGCGTCGCGAAATGGGAACCCATAACTAATTCCTTTTTAAATTGCCCTTTCAAATTGCAACCTATCGTTTTCACGCTAATCTTTACATCTACTCATATGTCCACTTCACCGTGAAGCAGAGGCTATCTTCCAGGAAGGTATGTAGTGCAGCCTATTTGAAGCCAGGTAAGGGCAATAGGATCCACTGACCACTCAAGATGTTTTGTTAACCACGTTTGTGTTTTGGAGCAACAATATAAAATCTATCTTTGAAATCTGCAAAACGTACAAGAACCTCGTCCAGAGGGCAAAGAATTCAAGGAGTTCTTCATGAATTGACCAGAGACAGTCTCAGTCATCAACACGGATGATATAATCGTGCTGACTGCATCGCGTAACTTTTCCAAGCTAAATTTCGAAGATTAATTTTCAGTCACCATTCCCATCCCTAACCGTTCTTTGTACAATAGGAAAAACTGGATCGCGAATGTTATTCGATGTGTGAATGTTATTTGATGTGTGATGAAGATGTGAGTTATTCTTCTACTAAGTTTGACTTGTTCTAGGTATCACCAATCAAGCAGCGGACACAGGAACGAAGAGAACTGTCGATATATTAGGTGCGAGCACCTTCGACCGAGAAAAGTTCGCCGAGGAATTCCGAAGGAAACTGCTTGCATTACCGGACGGCTATTCTCAAAAGGCTACGATCGCTCTTTCCAAAAGTTACAAACCGAAAACTCAAGTTTTCACACTTCCCCCTTCCTTTTTGGTAGAAACAACTACACCGTCTCCTATGGTAGAGTCAACGGAGGCCGCCATCATGGAGGAATCATCTAAAGGGCCAGAAGTTGAGAAACATATAACAGACGATGCTGAGGTTTCTTCGATACAATCAGCAGTCGATGAAAGGAATATCACAACAGAGCCTCCACCGAAAGCTGAAGGCGTTGTAGGCAAACAGAAAGAAGCTGTGAGTTTAAGAGCTTAAATGGATAGAACAAGTACTTGCCTCATCAATTATCAAATTACCATTTCCAGGTCCAAGGTACTCTCCAAGGCTTCAAGCGCCTGATGGACTTGTGTGATGAACCGTTGGATCCGATGCTTCAAGAAGATTGCAACGACGAAAATTGGGTAAATTCAAAAGTCTGATTCATTTCAGTTTGCTACACCATCGAGAACCTGGTCTTTTTCTGACGAGGCCTCAACCAGAACGAGCAGCTGGCACATCCGTTCACGTCGGCTGGAACTCGTCTGTCTTGGGGTGTGGCACATATAGCGGCGCGTATCAAATTCGCGCACGGCTCCTTTCCTGGCCCATTTCTCCGGAATATGCTGAAAAATGTTTATTCTATTCCGCTTCAGTGAACCTATCTCGGGAACCGAAACCAAGCCTATTTTATCTATCCTACGAGGGTTGCCTTTTATATTTTGAGATTTGGCAACACTAGTGTAGCAATCTAGCAACTGACATCACTA